GATGACGGAGGCAGTATGACCTCTGAAACGTTGGTAAACATCGACCAGACTACACAGCGCAACAACCCAGAAGACAGAATCTTCTATCGCCCTGATGACGGAAGCAGTATGACCTCTGAAACGTTGGTAAACATCAACCAGACTACACAGCGCAATAACCCAGAAGACAGAAATCTTCAACTTCAATATTGCCTTTGCATCTACATCGAAGTGTACCAAATAAGTTATTTCTTTCAGGTTTTCTAACCAAAATTTTTATGTATACCGCAACTCCCCATGCTTCACCCCTTTTGCCGATTCCATTACATCCTCCTCGATTTGATGGAACTTGGTGAAAATAAAAAAAATGTGAAGCTTCTTATGTAATTTTATTTGTTTTAAAAGATCACAGGATGATGTTCATAACTAAACTATGTAATGATTCTTTCTGCTATCGAATTTTGTATTGGCTAGCGCCAATCACAGAATAAGTTCTGTGGCAAGTATCAGGGACACATACATAGGTCAAGCCAAACTATTGAAATCCACAGATTATACCAATGATGTCCATTTTGTTCTTCTGTGATCGTTGTCATGTGCGGCACGGCAAGGAGCAGTGTTGTGTTTGTAACCTGTGCCGTCGTTTGTGGCTGACAGTGCATAAGATTAGTAAAGCAGATTTTTGTGTAATGAATATGGCATCACAAGACGTAAATATACTTGCCGAAATGGGATTTCCAAGAAGTAAAGCGTATGTGCATCAATTATAATTCGTTTAAAATCTTGTATTGAAAACAACACGCTGTGTCGTTTTTAACCTATAAATATGTAATACACGTTTATTAATAACATATTAATTTGTAGTGTATCTGCTTTGTAGAGAAAGAGCTTTGGAAGTTACTGGCAACCAGGGAGTAGAACCTGCAATGGAATGGTTTGTAATGGTAATTTATTCACTACTGAAGTTAGTGTTAACAGTTCATGTTAGAAGTGATTATGAAAGAATGCTATTAATTTTTAAAGGTTATTAGCACATGCAGATGAATCATTACCAACCGATCCTTCCGTGTCTTCTGAAGCTGTAAATAGTGCGCTGTCGCAAAGTACAGTGGAGCAAGACAAGCAAGAAGGTGGCAGTGATGAAGTAACAAAGGATGAGACAGAAGAGCCAAAAGAAGCAACTGCTAATACTGTAGCAAAATCACTGAAGTGCAATGAGTACGTGGTAATGAAACATACAAATTGGACAGGAAGTTAATATTACCCCTCTTTAGTGTTTAAGTTTTATTTTGTGGGGGGGCCATCTTGTACAGCAGAAGTTGTGTGCCAAGTAGTTGTACATCTGTAAAATATATGGTGTCAGAAAGCTGAAAGTAATAAACGCAGCAATATGGTAATTCTTCTGTCATGATTACACTTTCTCTGTAGTAATGCCCATAAGGACTTTTATATAAATATGAGGACTGAATTGCATGTTGGTGATGTATGGGTTCTGTAATGATGCAGTATCTGTTGTGAATAGCATTTAGTTTTAAATGAGATAAGATGGTTATGTGTGATGGGATAGGTTTAACAGACTAGATGTTGAGTTTGTGGTTATGTTTCATGTTGTTAGTGACATGAGAATAGAGTGGGGTAATGTGACTTCCTGATCTGTGTGTAAAATTACTTTACGTGTGAAGTTACGTATTATTTATCACAAACTTTTGCTTTTAATGGTTTTAATTTCTAGGTGTTCTCGGTTGTTCATATCACCATTGGAGATTGAATTCCATGCAGCAAAAACTGGTCATAATAGTTTTTTTGAGAGCGATGAAGAGAAAAGACCTCTGACAGAAGAGGAGAAGAAGGAGCAGGTCAAAAGACTCGAAGAGAAAATGAGGCAGAAGCGACAGGAACGAGAAGAAGCTGAGAAGAGAGAAGCTCTAGAAAAAGAGAAACTACGGATACGACATGGAAAGGAGATGGTGGCTGCTAAGAAAAAGTAATTAAACATTGAATAATTTATATGTACAAAGCAAGGGCTCCCAGACATAATGCTTTAGTAGTTCCCCTGTTTTGGTACTTATTAGTATTTTATAGGTGGACCGACACATTACTAAAGAAGTATTTTTGTTCCTCTGAAAAACAAGATCAAGATGTGATAAAACCAACATTAAAAATCCTCTAAGCAGGTATGTCATTGGCTTAAAAATATATACAGAGGAAAAACTAAAAATATATTTATGCTTTTAAATTCAATTCCAGGACAAATCAGGTGTAAAAGTTGATGATAAATGGTTGAAAATGTGGAACAGTTTGATATCCCCAAGACTAACAATTATATACAAAAGTGACATTTCTTAAAAAAAGTAAAGTAAAGCTGTCTTTCTATATACCATATAGGTGCTTGGGGGGGGGGGGAG